TGGGGTGTCGCAAGAATAGTTGCGAGAGGTTTTACAAAATAAAAGAAAAAAAGCCGTATTAATATACATTCATTTTGTATTTAGAAAAAACATTAACGTGAGTTGTGTCGCAAGCAAAAATCTCGTCCAAAAGGGGGTCGCGGCTTCAAAAACTTTGGAAACCTCTGGTGTAAACAATAAATATTAAATTTGAGAAAATACTTTTACTTGAGCTCTTTCCATCCTCCGGCACTTCGGCACGAGAGCCTCTCGTTCAGATGCTCGGTAAACCAACTTCCTTCTTTACCCTGCGATTTTCACGTGTAACATCACAGACGAGATATAAAAATATCGGAAAATAGTTGGGGCCGAATGTAAACGTATCTTAACTATTTATATCTCAAAAAATTGCTCCCAATTTGCTCCTTCCGAATCTGAAATTGCTCCCACAGCACCGTTAATAGTTAATAAGATATTCGCAAAAGAAAAAGCAAAAATTTGTTCTTAAGAAAATAGGTAGTAAATGGCCTTTTTACACAAATATTATGGCACCAAAAAATTGCTCCTGATCTGTTTTATAATAATCAATAGTCAGATATCTCAATAACAACGTATTAACGAGGAGCAAACGAAATATTGTTGTTGCATAGAGGTTAGGTAATACGTCATATGGTAGGCGCTCGTTTATTGCAGCCTTCGGGGTTATAGAGGGCCAAAATTCCAGGAATATTGCCATATACATTCTTTAAGATTAGTGTTGTATAAAGCTCGAGTCTTTGAAGCTACAAAGCTTAGCCTTAAAGACTGAGTCTTTATGGCTACAATCATATGAAGCTCGAGGCTCAAGGCTCAAGCTCCAAGGCTCGAGTCGTCGAGGCTCGAGGCTCGAGTTTCAAGGCTTTGAGTAGTCGAGGCTCGAGCCTCGAAGCTCGAGGCTTTTATGTTTAACACGTTCACTGCTGAGCGTGTTTCTGCTGGTTTTGTCTTCAGCGCCAAAGAGTGATTGCCCATTAGAATCATATAATAATATATTACACAATATGATTATATGTATTGTGCAAACTTATCATGCGTAGTACATTAATCTTGCTGCCGGTCATCTATGACTCCCACGGCGTAAGAGTATGTTTCCAGTCGATCAGATAATACTATATTTTGAACATTACAGACAAATTTTTAGCAATGTTTCATTTCGTCTACTATTCAATGGTTATTTTGTCTCATTTTTCGTTTCCCTTTCTTGGTATCAATATCTCATGTGTTTGCAGTCATCGCTGTATTTTTTAAAAACTGTATAAAGTATAATATTATAGATTTAGTGTAAATTCCATTATTTAACACTTAAGGGTTCTAGAGGGTTGAACCTTAAAGCTTCAGACTTAATGTGGAATAACACAGTGACGATTGGCAAAAATTAAGTTTTTTATATTTATACTTTCAAAGTATAATTTTTCGAAAATATTCTACCAGCATATTAAGTCGAATATCACGTGAATAACGAAAAAAATGTCCCAACTTTGATCAATGAACCGTGAACAAATTGAGAAATTATTTTGTTCGACGCGTAACATCCTATGACTCGTATATCTTTTTTGTATTTTGTAATAAAAGAATATAGGTATTTTGTAATAAAAGAAAATTTAACGTATTGTCCAAAATATATATTTGATCACCCTATTAATAATAGTTTAATGAGGTTAACAAGCTTCGAACCTTGAGAGTTCAAGCCTTTAGGGTTTGAACCGCGACTCGAGCTGTTAAAGCTCAAGACTCGAGGCTCATTTTAACAACACTACGCTAGTGACGTGCGTCACACAGTTTATTGACCTAGCCGTGTACGCCGTCTACCATGGCCATACCTGGCCGTACCATCTGGTGTTTGGGTCGTTCAAGGAGGAAGGTCGTTCAAGCCGGCAAAAACAATTCAACATAAACAAACCTGCGTACGCCCAATATTGTTGTGTCCCGTCTTTTGTTACTAATCCCTTGTATGTTACAGATGTTCGAGAACCATTGGCTTCGATATTTATCTCCTTATGTACTGTGATTCATTTACTGTGATTTATTTACTGTGCATATTATGTATTTTATGTGTATTGTCATGTGTATTATCAGTTATTCCATCGAAAGAAGACATCGATCAACGTCTACATCCTCAAAGCGTTTACCACTGCGTTAAGTTACTGTAAGTTAAACTTAAATCATAATTCGATATTCATTGTTATATTCATATTCATCATCGCATCGTTTATTATTAATTTTAGTCTATCTATTAATAGACTTAAATTGTGATCATCCATTGTGCATACCAAGTTATTATTAATTCATTTTGCTCGTTGATTCTCTACACAGACTTGGGGTACGGGCAGTGGGTCTGTACCTATGGTACGGGCAGTGGGCCTGTGCACTAAGACTGTTTGCCGATCCCTCTGGTTTCTATTGAGAAGCCAGATATCGGACGTGTTTAGTCTTTGCCTGGTAAGTAGGATTTGGAGAAAGACTCGTGCGTGCCAGGGTACGGAGTAGTCGGGAGGCTGCTCCGTAAACGGACTCTGTTTAACAGAGAATCTCGCTTGCACTACCATGCTTGTGTACTCTTTTGGTTCGGGTCTGGTACGCAGGTGACCAGCCCAAAGCTCCATGACAGTAAAAGATGGATCCGGGTTAACGAGGTGTCGCCCGTCTTTCCTATTTTCTTAAACCAGGTTCTACCGACAACACTTTCATCGCGATACTTGTTCATACTGTAGTTTAACGAGTAGTTCATCGTAGACATAATAACTGCTTGGTATATAGAATATTAGGTGCGCAAACGAAATGATCGATGGAACTTTTTCCATTCCGTCTGTCTCTTTCGTTTGAGTATTAGCAACTACGTTGCGTTAAATTTGTTATTTCGTATTACTAGCATTAATTCGTATTAATTAGAATATTAAGATAATATTAGTTCTAAGCTGAAGAACGAAGACAACCGACGAGGGAACTTAGTTTTTTATAGGTTTAGGCTCAAGAAAGAAGTCATCCGCCGAGGGATTTTAGTACCGATAGTATTAGATAGTTAAGATTTAAGTTATTTATAAGGTTTATTGTGAAAGGTGGGTAGATGTAGAACTTGTGATTCCATCTACCTGCCTTGGGCCTCCACTCGCAGCAACCTCCTCGTGGTGAGGCCTGGGCAATCGGTATTGTCATCGGTAAAGTACTGTAAACTGAAGACAATATCGAGCTAATGGCTGCGAACTTAGAATCTATCTCCTAAAACCACGTTCTATATTACATCGAACTAGGATTATTTTAGAAATCGATATGAGATTCAAAGTGTGAAAATGTCTAGTACTTTGAATGTTTTATAAAATTATTCAAGATAAAGATGTATGGAACTACTGAATATTACTTTAGATTCCTTTTCCTTATTTTGTAAATTCTTTGATTGGTATATGAATGCTGTTGAAAGTATGAAAATTTTCACAGGACAATGATATAAATGGAACTTTGAAAGTTTTTCAAGTGTTACAGTGATATTTCATTGGCCTTCGTATTAGCGCACTGCGCCGAACGCGGATAGCATGATGTTGTAGTCGCAAGGGAGCAATTGAATCGAATAGACGTATTGTACCGTAGCGCATCGTATTGTATTTCAAACTTTTATATCATTATAATTTATATGTATATATGTATATTCCAATAAACATACGTCAGGTAATATAAGCTTCATTTCATTCAATTGTCTTAAATATAACTGCATAAATATTGTACAATCCTATACTAATTATAGTTGCTGGTTCAACGGATTACTACAGAAACTAACTACTGCCTACGTCTTTTAAACTTGGGCTGTAGTAGTATCTGCAGAAACTGCCATGGTTGTTGGGGTTACTATATACTTTGCTCACGGAAGCACGCACAAGTGTCAGTTACATTTCGACAGTTGTACGAGCAACATTAGACCGACTCTTGCGCATGCTCCGGGGGTTCTATGACCCCACGATCTCGCCACACGGAGTCTGGCGCCATCTGTGAGGGTTCTATGACCCAATGTTTTCACCACACGGGGTCTCTGGCGCCATCTGTGGGGGTTCTATGAACCCACGCTCTCACCACACGGGGTATCTGGCGCCATTTGTAGGGGTTCTATAACCCCACGCTCTTACCACACGACGTCTCAGGCGCCTTCACCAGGGGTTCTATGACCCCACTTCCTCCATACACACGAAGCCTCTTGCGCAGAGCAGCCCTTTTCACACACACGAGGTTTCTTATCACATCGAACGCACAGTTTCATCTATATAGAAGTATGTGATAATTTCAGAAAGAATTGCTATTTCTTAAAGGATTGCATACATATAATCAAATTACAAAACGGTTTCAGTTAGAGATGGCGTGCAAAATCACTAACGGTGATTTATCACAGTGATCACCGAATCATGATCACGGTCGTGATTTAACTTCATTTACGACCACGATTGCGATTATTTTATCTTAAGTGCATTTGCTCACTGCGATCGTAAGTCCTTGATCTTTAAACAAAAAAACGTATTCAATATGATTTTACGACGAATTACATTACTATTTGTGTTTGTAAAAATTAGTAGAAAAAACAAGAAATTCTAAAAGAATGATTTGCTAGGTAACATGTAGATTATAAATTATATTCATTAATTTATTCATTATTCTTCATTGTTTCTAATTATTCCTTCACTTTATACGATATAACTGAAATTTTTGTTTTGATGTCGTTAATATAAAATATTAATTGAAATCACGAGTGATTCACAAGTAGCAGTTCACGCCATTTCTACTCTGAACGCCATCCTGAGGTCTACCATTTCAATACATGTAGATCAAGGGAAAAATAAAAAATAAGAAACTTGGTTTCATGGGGATTTACCTATCACTGCTGCCACTGACTCTCACTCAGTTTCTTTAACGATCGATCGGTTTGAAATACTAGTAAGTTAACAACTATTGGCGACACTGTTCGATTAAGACAGCTGAAGAGAGCAACACTTCGCGCGGTACCTGACGTATACAGAAAGTTCTTCCCATCTTGTCAGAGATTTGTATTAAACATGTAATAGCAGGAAAGGTAAGACATATGGTATAAAAAGCGGCATACTACTTTCTCACGAAAGAACATTACAAACATGCAAAATTGTTTTGTAGGAAGAAAAGGATTATTCTATTTTAGACGCATCCGGTGGATGTAATTACCCCTAGGGGTGGGGTCTGCTGTCATTTAAAGCCAAAGAAGTGAAAAAATTATGTTGATCACGTAAGGAACATCACTGGATGATATAATTATGGCGCGACCTATTGTACCTAGTCAACAAAAGTTGGCTGAGAAGCTAACTATTTTAAATGACAGAGGTATTGGAATGTTAACCCGTATTTATAACATAAAGAAGGCATGTGGTGATGCAAAATCAAAGCCTGGTTTTCTTTCCGACAAAACTCTGGAGTCTTCTATCAAGACAATTGTCAGAAAGTTTCCTAATATTGACATTAAAGGGCTTCAGACAATTACAAACCTCCGTAATGAGATTATTAAATCTCTATCTTTATATTATTATACTTTTGTTGATCTGCTAGATTTTAAAGATAATGTTTGTGAACTTTTGACTACAATGGATGCTTGCGGTGTACACATGGATATCACAATAAATTTTGATTTAACCAAAGGTTATCTGGATCTGGTTGTTACGTACGTCAGTTTGATGATACTTTTATCGCAAGTAGAAGATCGTAAAGCAGTCTTAGGATTATTTAATGCAGCGCATGAAATGGTACACAGTCAATCTGATCCTAGTTTTCCTCGTTTGGGTCAAATGATTATGGATTACGATGCACCACTGAAAAAGCTTTCAGAAGAATTCGTGCCACACTTTAAATTATTGAAAAATGCTCTCACTTCTTTGTGGCCTATTTATCCTGGAAGAAACTTATCTGCAGATACATGGAGAGCAGATCAAAAACTAAGTCTTGTTGGTAGTCCTGGAAAGATACTTAAAGCAGCAGCAACAGATACTATGTCATGTGAAACTTTAAGCTTGGACAGAATAGAAAGATGGATTATTTTAGGATTTACACTTTGTCATTCATTTTTGATACATGAACAGCCTAGTAAACTCTGGACCACAGCTTTAGAGTCAGGCTGGGTATTGGCTTTGTTTAGAGATGAAGTAATTTATATTCATCACCACATACAAACATTTTTTGAAAGTATAAAGGGATACAGCAAAAGAGTATCTGAAGTGAAAGATTGTTATAATCAGGCAGTACAAAAAGCTGGTTACAGGCACAGGGAAAGAAGAAAATTTTTAAGAACAGCACTAAAGGAACTAGGTTTAATCTTAACCGACCAACCTGGTCTTCTGGGACCAAAAGCATTGTTGGTTTTAATGGGACTTTCTCATGCAAGAGATGAAGTTCTATGGCTTTTAAGACATGGTGTTAATCCACCAACACAAGGAAAGGGCAAAGGAAGAGGAGGAGAGGATTTAGTGGATCGTCAATTGCCAGAATTATTATTTCACTGTGAAGAATTAAGAGCATTAGTAAAGAAATATTCTCAAGTACTCCAAAGGTATTATGTACAATTTCTGTCAGGATTTGATGCACCCGCTTTAGATCAAATGATTCAAAATCTTCCAGTTTGTCCTGAAGATGAAGGAGCAATTCTTAGTGACATGTGTTCAAAGATAGCTATTATGACGGTGAAACAAGTTGAAGACAATGAACTTTTTGACTTCCGTGCTTTTCGATTGGATTGGTTCAGATTACAAGCATATATGTCCATTGCAAAATGTAATATGAACCTAGCTGATAATAGAGAATTAGCATCCTTTATGGATACTGTAGTATTTCATACTAAAATGGTTGATAATTTGGATGAAATGTTGGTGGAAACATCTGATTTATCCATCTTTTGCTTCTATAGTAAAGTGTTTGAAGATCAGTTTCACATGTGCTTGGAATTCCCTGCTCAAAACAGATATATTGTTGCATTTCCTCTAATATGTAGTCATTTTCAAAGCTGTACACATGAACTCTGCCCAGAAGAACGTCATCATATTCGAGAAAGAAGTCTTTCTGTTGTCAACATGTTTTTGGATGAAATGGCTAAGGAAGCAAAAAATATTATTACAACTATTTGTGATGAACAGTGTAATATGAGCGACAAACTGTTACCAAAACATTGTGCTCTATTGATCTCACAAGTGGTGAATCGGAAAAAGAAGGATAAAAATAAGAAAAATATGTATGAAATCCATAAGCCTGGTATAGAAAGTTATAGGAAAACAAGAGAAGAACTGACCACAATGGATAAACTTCATATGGCATTAACAGAATCATGTTACGCTATTAATTATTGTCCTACTATTAATGTATGGGAATATACTTTTGCGCCAAGAGAATATCTGCATCAGCATTTAGAATCAAGATTTGCCAGAGCACTTGTTGGAATGGTTATGTACAATGCAGACACTAGTGAAATTGCTAAACCATCGGAACTGTTTGTTAGTGTTCGATCTTATATGAATGTCCTTCAAACCGTTGAAAATTATGTACACATAGACATTACACGGGTTTTCAACAATGCTCTCCTTCAGCAGACTCAAGAATTAGACAGCCACGGTGATAAGACTATTGCATCTTTATACACACAATGGTATTCAGATGTTTTACTAAGAAGAGTTAGCGCTGGGAATATTTGTTATTCGAGTAATCAAAGAGCATTTGTTAGTTTATCAGTGGAGGGGGCGATACCTTTTAACGCAGAAGAATTTTCTGATATCAATGAATTGAGAGCACTAGCTGAACTCATTGGACCATATGGTATGAAGATGTTAAGTGAGAACTTAATGTGGCATATAGCGAGTCAAGTGCAACAACTAAAGAAACTGGTTGCTGGAAACAAAGATGTTCTTATCTCTCTAAGAACCAACTTTGATAAACCGGAAGTAATGAAAGAACAATTCAAGAGATTGCAGCAAGTAGATAACGTACTACAACGAGTTACAATTATAGGTGTAATTTTAAGTTTCCGACAGCTAGCACAGTCTGCGTTAGTCGATGTCTTGGAAGAACGCATACCGTTTCTTTTGAGCTCGATCTTAGACTTCAGGCATCATTTACCTTCTGGAGATCCCATGCGGGTTGTTTCGGAAATGACATCAGCAGCTGGTTTAAATTGTAAAGTTGATCCCACGTTAACAGCGGCGTTAAGAAGCCAGAAAGCGGAAGTTGATGAAGACGAACATTTATTAGTTTGTTTGCTGATGGTCTTCGTTGCGGTTTCAATTCCAAAACTGGCTCGAAATGATAACTCTTTCTACCGTGCATCCCTGGAAGGCCACTCTAATAATATACATTGTATGGCAACAGCTATAAACAATATTTTCGGTGCATTATTTACTATTTGCGGGCAAAATGATATCGAAGATAGAATGCAAGAATTCCTTGCTTTGGCATCATCCAGCTTACTTAGACTGGGTCAGGAAGCGGACAAAGAAGCAATTAAAAATAGGGAATCAGTGTACCTTTTGTTGGACCAAATTGTCCAAGAATCACCGTTCTTAACGATGGATTTATTAGAAAGTTGCTTCCCGTATGCATTGATACGAAATGCGTACCACGATGTGTACAAGCTTGAACATTCACAGCCATAAAAGTATTGATAAGGGATGTGTATACTTTTGCTTGCCACTCACGACTACTTTTTTACGTCCAGTTTTGTCGGATATTATTTGAAAGGATGCATTTTGTATAGATCAGTGTCTTCTATTTCATATTTGATACCTGGCTTAGGATATACATACTATGAGAGACAGTACTACATTCTTTTTCAGTATTTCTGTTATATGTACATCTTATCGATACAGAAGGGATGTTTTATATTAGAGGCGAAGTGTAAAATGCAATCTATTTAAGAATGGAAACACACAAGTATCGTAAAATAAATATCACTGTATCTGCTACATTTTTTCTAATGTACAATTGTAACTTTTACAATAGTTTATAAAATAAATAAAAGTATCTACAAACTGTGTTTTCATTTAGCGTCAAACTCGACCTTTTGTTAGTTTTGTGCATACTTTATTTAATGTAAGCAGATGTCAATATTTTTAATTATGTGTTTGATATTTTAATTTTTGGAATCCTGAATTTAATTACAATATTACCTGAAATGAATGTATATATCTATTTAATTTTATTACGTCGTATTTATTTGTTACTACGTGTAACTGTGTTTTCTTATAGCTGTATGTACTGAATATAAAACTTTGAATGCTGTAATAATTTGTTTACGATAGTTATATTGAAACCAATAAATTCATTTTTGATATCCTTTCAGAATTATTCTTTTTCTATCTGTGCACTAATGCTTGTACCCGATACAACTAAATTTTAACATCCACTTCTGTATAGTATGGCTGACATAATGTTTCATATTTGCAATTACTGCAGTATATACTAGTAACTTCACACGTTAGTTCATTTCGTTATAATTAGTCTCGTTAATAGAAAAGTGTTATATCTCATCATGTCAAAATAAAGATAAACAAAACAAACGTATGTGGTTCTTAAATTTTTCATTTACGCAAGTTATCACAATAAAGATTATTTAATTTCTGATTTTCGTAATACAAAAAAATACTGAAATATATTTTACTGCAAAATAATAAAAAGATGGATTAAAGGTATTGCAATATAATTACGTACATGAAGCGATATTCAGTATACAGAGTCCTCTCGATTATCGTCCCTAATTCGGGTCCGCGAGGGGACGATAATCGTGGACTACGCGAAACGCTTCTGACCCTCGTGAATACATGTTTTGCCCGAAGCCCGAGCCTCGGCAATAACTTCTTTTTCCACTCGACGCTCTCGTCGACCAATGATTACATTATAGCCGACCACACAGTCCGATTGTGCGTGCACGTTTCGGCCAATAATAAAAATACGTGTGAATACAGGTGATCCAGCTACATTTTATTCGTCGGCAGCTCTTTGGGCAGTCGCTAACGATTGAACACTTCGACTAATCGTCGTACATTCCCCCGCTCCGTCCGTCGAGTTCATCAAGCACATACATTGTTGCCCGGCACTCAAGACAACGCTAATGCAACGATGAAACTTATTTATTTTTGATTCGTTATTAATGAAACTTTTACTAGTATATTGGTGAGATTTTTCTGATTAAAATGATACTAAATATGACAAAATTTGGATCATATTTACTCATGTAGAAACTGTTAATAATACATATTAGTTCATTATCGATTCTGATAAATCAAAAGTAAATATGACCCAAATTGCGTCATGTTTGGTATTATTTTAAACAGAAAAATCTCACCAATTTGTTTATAAAAGTTTCATTAATAAAGATTCAAATATAAAAAGGTTGATCGTTGCATTAGTATTCTCACCGACACCCGTGAATGTAACCTTTTTGTGGCCTCCCAACGTTCAGTCGTCGGCTCTCGTGAATGAGAAGCCGTGTCGGCGCGCTGCGGCAACAAAGTATACGGTTGCCGAGTTCCACGACCTCCTCCCCCCCCCCCAATGGTGGGGATGACGCCTGGACAATAATCGCGAGGACTCTGTAGAATTATAATTCATTATAACTTTCTTTTGCGAAAATATTTGTATATAATATTTTTCTCATATACTGCAAAGAACATAAAATAATTAATTTCTGAAATATTCGTGTCCTATTAAAGTCACCTAATGTTCACTTAGTAAAATTATAATAAGAAATGTGGCAAAACATACCATTCCGTAAATGTAAAATGTATGCTTTATTTACTTCTTTACAATGTTTTTGTTTTTTCTCTTTAATCACATGAACATAACACAAGAGATACACAATCATATTCCTTTTTATTTATAATATTCTTAAAACACTCGCCGCGTTCTAAATATTTGAGAAAAAGAGAGAGTGGTGGTCTGAAGCTACGTTCAGGCGATTGGTCAGTATCATGCTCAATAAGATTCGTATAAAAAATTCAACGGAAACGCATACGCTAGACACTGTAGGAGTTACAAAAATAGTACAGAATATAAAACACTACGGCACATCGAATGTAAAAATAACTCGGTAATCCTTGTAATATTCCAGCAACTCTTTAGAAAACGTACGGCCTTGGTGAAACGAGACGACTTATGTATTTGGCAAACAATGAAAACATATCGGAACGGATAAAAGGGAACTAATACAAGACGTAACTAATCTCAGATGCACGATGTTGATAGGTCACCACATTTTTGGATCGATAGAAAAAATATAATCTTCGATTTCTTTTTGTTTCTTCCTCACTAACATTATGTACAAGTGATAAAGTAGTGTGTATCGCGTCACAATGACGCGGTCTGGATTAAGATAGGTACGCAGAAGATGCTGATCCTTCGAACGTTTCAATAATACCTTCTCCTAATCGAAATGTTCGTTCGTGCCTCGGAGAGTACGTTTATCACAAAATGTGCAGCGAAACGCACGATCGCGGAATAATAATAGAACTCGATCTTAATCCAGACGACGCAGAAATGAGTAAGCTTAAGCATATGTAGTAGAGACTTCTCGGGATCGGAGGAGGGAGAGGAGGGACAAATGATGAAGGAAAACGTACTTTTGTTTTTTAATCGTTATGCTTCTCATACGGATAAGCGACGTCATCGTCAACTAGATACTACAATTTGGTCCCATTCCACGCTCGTCTTAGGCTTCTCTTTTCATCTAAATGAATGACATCGCTATTCCATTTTCTTTCCCTGTTATCCTGTCACGAAAACGCGAACTTATACTCCTTGATCGTATTATTCAGTCATATGAAATGTTCTCTATGGCAGTGAAATGGAAGCGAGGATAATTCATCACGAACGATATCTGAAACGTCGACCAACTCGTTCCGAGTAAGATCTATTATCTACGTCTCAATTGCTATTCAAATGGCAGTGGCTCGGAAGCAAAATGATCGGTCAACAACATTGTTTTTCAAAATATACCTACGATGCACCACCGTGTTGACAACTCGGTTTTCCGTGAAATTTATCGTTATCCGTCGTATAAGTTATCGCTTATTCACTGAAAATTTTATGATGTCCGAGTCACCGTCGTCGTATCGTAATACAACGTTCGTAAATTATCGCGTCGCGTTGCGGTTGCGAATAATAATAAATCTAAAGTTCGAAATCCTTTGGCTTTCTTTTTTGAGCGAACACGATTTCTTTCTGCTACACGCTATCACGAATGGCAGTAAATCACATTAACGCCGGGGCATGAATCCTTTATCGGATCGATAGAGAAACTACGGAAACTATATATATATATATATATCCAAGCAACAATCGGACGAGCGATTACGAATGGGACCAAACGGGATCCCGTTGCATCTATATGCAAGAAACTTCGAAACTTCTTATATAATCTACATCGAACGATCCGTTCCGGTCCACGCCGGATCGTCGTTGAAAGTCGTCACCTTAAAAAGTTAAGTGCTCGATTACACGCACGTACAGGCATTCGTTCGTCATCCTTTGTTAACTTCCGTCCCGGTTACAAAATACAGAATAATATTTCGCTATAATACAGATCTGATATAAAAACAAGTATTTTTGTTGTTGTTGTATTCGCTTTACCATTCCTTATGGTTATATAATTATCGTTTATGATGATTGTGCATATATATATGCATGCACGTGTTAAATACGTATGTATATATACACACACAATATCAACATATGTACACAAGTTTAACACTCTCTCTTTTATTCTTGCACGCCCGTCTTCGTTCCATGCCCATCCCTTATCACACCTTGTCCCTTTTTCCCTCTCCCTCTCCCTCTCTCTGTCTGGTCTCTCACATATGATCTCGCATGATCCGCTTCGGTTTTTTTTTTTTTTTTTTTTTTAATAATCACAATGCGAGTATTGTACATTTCCACACGACCCGCAAACTCGTATTTCTGCGATTTGGCAGACACCTTCGTCGATTTTGTATCTTTATCCCCGGAAACGTTCCTTCTGTCTCGCATGCCCCTAGGTTTCAAATCATCACGTTTCTTCGTGAATGTCTGAACTCTAGCTGCCGTGATATTGAACGGTACGTAAATGACACCAAATTGCTTTATGAAACATGGAAAGACAATAGAGTGATATCAAACGTATTTGGTTTTGTTTTTTCTCGAGAAACGCTGGCAAGCTTATTGTTAGTAATATCATCAAAAGTATAAGGAGAAGGATAACGCTAGGCCGCGAGCGAAATTATTGGTGGATAGCTTCAGCTGGCGACGTTAGCGGTTTACAACGTCTCCGGTTATATTTGTGTTGTTTCGTATAGGAATCTCGTGGAAAATACTTGGCAAAATATATTCAAGAAGGCTCGACAAGGGACGAGTCAGAAAAAAAAAGTCAGTCGATCGCGTTAACCTTTTGGCGTTTTGAGAAAGGAAGTGAGTACATACACATATACATATATAGTATATCGCGCAAGATCTCCTACGATTCGCCGTTCAAACACGTACGAATTTTTCCTCTGTCGCATACGAGTATGCAGTTGTGCACGGATATGCTGCTGGAGCCCACGTGTATTAAAACATGTTTATATTTCAAGTGGAGGCCTCGTCTTTGGTCCGCCATGCGCATAATTTAAAGCGCGTTTACGGTACAGCCCCCGATAATTGCAAGTTATAAACCGTATTTAAATATAACTTATAACATTCGCGACAGCGGAGATAAATTATCATCTGCAATAGATAACTAATCAATAATAGTAATAGTATTAATAATAATAATAATAATAATAATAATAATAATAATAATAGTAATAAGCATAATTATAGTAATATCAATATCATTCAATATTATTTTTTTATCGGTATAATCGTTAATGAAATATCGCTATTAAAAAATCTTGTTTGTTGTTGTTGCTTCTCATCTATTCTCCATAGTTTCTCTTATAGATTTGCTCATTTCAATTGGCTAATAAAAATTAGTATAAGAATATTACATATCATTAATTATTATACTACAATGGTAGAGATCAAGTGAATGACCTGCAATAGTTTGGTAATGGTAGGCACGCTCCTTCGCTCCGGAAAGCAATGGCGTAATTTTTCCAATATTAAGTTTTCTTTCACTTTTATAGCCTTACATCACAAATAATAGGTATGCGTTTATCTTAAAAAGTATATTAAATATCTTAATTAAATTTAGTCGTACTGGAATAAAATACTAACGATTAAAAATTAAGTTCAAATAAAAAAGAAATCATCGACTTAAATCGATGTCGGTTCGATAAAAAAATGCTGCCGTAATAAAATAATATAAAGTAAAATCGCGCGTGAGAGTTAAAAGACGCAAGGTACATTCAGCGGGAGCTTCTCAAAAATTACGTTTATCATCCTAACACTTAATCCAAATATATATTGTCGTCTCCGTTCTCCCGCTGAACCTCCCTTTCGTTTTCTAACAAACAGTCTCATAATTCCCTCAAAAAGTTGCGCGCCTTCAGGAGCGAAATATGCGCGGTTCGACTTCACCAAGAAATCGAGGCATCAACGTTACCATGCAATCTTGGCCATAAAATGTTCTTACTATCGAACGGCAAAAATACGCTACGTTCAATACCATAATTATTTCATTTGCTGTGCGAATCCAGCGTTGTTGTTCATTCGAATAACTTTGATCGATACGTTCACATTTAAAGAATTTCGCGAACAGAGAAGTTCTTCGAAGCCTCGTGGCCGTTTCTTTCCATAGCCACGACCCCGATATACTTTAATGGCAACGCGGAGGAATCTGCGGGAAACATTCAAAAGACGACTTACATAAAACTGTATGTTCATATTAGATTACTAAGTATCCGTATGCTTACGATCCGTTACGTCCAACGGTGTTATTCATTTCATCGTTTTGCGCAACACGTCGATGTTCCAGATACTATGCCGACCAGAGGGTCACCTTAACAAGGGGAACATCAACCGAGAAAGTCGATATACATGTATATATCATCACTGATTCTAGCATACGTTACCCAATTTACAATTCCGAACCAGACCCCTCTTAACGTGAATTACTTATAATCGAAATAAAAACGTAGATCGGCGATCCTCGGTACTTTCAAATACACTCGATCACGCTTATCCCCTTTCATTCATTTTCTTCGATCTCTTGATTACGCGAGAACGTCGTGTGTGTCGGGTGGATCGGCTCGTTTCACAGTTTGGCATTATATAGAACAAAGTTTACGGCGCGACGTCAGGACTATTCCTTGTCGTTGGTAGTTCTCTAGGATCGTCACACCTTGTTGTGGTGCCTCATCTCATAGGCTGCGGCCCTACCGGCTCCCCCGGAGCCCGAATAGGCCCCGGCGTACAGTTCTGGGTGGTTGGAGCGGCCGTAGTTGGGTGCTGCGCTGCTACTGGATGGCGCACTAGCTGTGGGAACCGAGCGATAGCCTGCTTAAAGTTTAGAAAGGTATGCAACTATGAAAAGAAATGTCGAAGCGAACGAAATACAACGTGCGTGTACCGTGTACGATTACCGGCGATACACTGGATGATAAACGAGGAACAGAGAAAATCATGATAACGATGTGTACTAAGCATGCATTCGTAGGCTTTAAATATCCTTACACAGAACTGGGCAAGTTCTCTTTAAAATTCAAATAAGAGATAATCATTTGAAAGAACATTTCAGTCATCCAGCATATTTAACTTTTTTGCAGAATGTGATACATAGTATTTATTTGTAGATATTTTATAGCGTTGTAAGTTACTTGGAATTATAGGTATATAGAATGTTGAATAATGAAAATACGTCAACTTAACTTTTTTTTTAAAAAGTTTGTGATACAATAAGCTTCATGACAATTTTTGTTATTATCTTCAGTTAATTTCAATTAAAAAGTGAATTATATATAGATAGACGTCAAAATTACAAAGACTGAGGGATAAAGTTTATCCCTTGTACCCTTAAATTTATTATTAGTCACTAGTTTTATGTCGTATATTGTGTATGTACATACTTTATATGACAAAATAAAGAATATTGACAATATCAGGGAAGAACAGTGTTTGTACTTATAACACAAATACTTCTACGCTAGTAAAAGTAAAGAACTGTGAGTTAATGATAGTATTACTATCACATAATTTTAACATTATAAATATTCAGTTATCTTTTGCACAATTCTAATTTTGTATTCTAAAAGTACGCAAAAAAAATGCCCAGGTCTGTCATAAACAGATTTCTGCTAACAATAAGTTCATCTGTACATACAAAAGTTATATCCTTTTCCTTCTCCACTTTCCAAAACTCGGTTAAAACAAGTGCATACAATGCAGAAGCAAACGGCATAATGAGTTCTATGTCGACATTAAAAATGAAATAAAAGTTTGTATATGATGAAAAAACAGACAGGAGCAAATACAAGAATACTCGTAAGGTGATTCAGTCATTGAAGAATTCATTAGAAATCCGCTACACTGTAACATTAATTTTTACATGTATTTGATATGTATATCCATAAAATTATTTTAGAGTTTTCTGTATTCCTGAATTTGCTCCTATTAAAGCTATAGAGTATAGGCCCCAGCTCACCTCTGTAGGTCATAGAACGATAGTATCAGGTAGTGATGCGCGTCAATCAATGCGAGGGAGATGCAAACAGGAAAAGACATTGATGTAATTGCGGATTACACAGGGATAAATATCAGGTCATTCCATAAATACAATTTTCATATGCATCACTAATACATTCAAAGAGAAAAAATATTGCACAACAAATTATATTGTTACTAGGACTATATAGTCATCATGTGATTTATAGTGACAGTCACCTGACCACCAGCCCTAATAATACTACAATTCATTACGTTACGTTATACACATTACACCCATTAATCAACAATGTACTGACGTTTATCTGGATACGTTTTTTAAAAAGCAATTATAATTTAGAATACATTAGACGTTATTCAGAATACATTATGTTGTAACAAATTTTGTTAAAAAAAAAAGTATTTAAAAATCTGTTGGCTTTAAATTTGAAACATGAGGTGGATATGTTGATACTCTGACGTATTTAATGTATTTTTTCCTACAACTTAGAAAGGTTCTTGAAAGTACATGTTGCTTTTTTAATATCTTTTAACCATCATCAAAGAAGGCTTCGGTGAAAATGCTTTGAATACTTTATTAACCCTGCTTCGATCTTTGAGCCTTTTCCGACCAAATTCCATTTTCATCTCTTTAGCGCTGCTACAACCCTTCAACCTTTTTCGACCAAATCATAATCTAATTGCATGAAAAATGTGTTTAAGTTTAAGAAGAGTATAAGGAAATTGTTATTACTGTACGGGTTTCTGTTCCCTCGTTATTATTTCAGATGTGTATCTGAACTGACACTGAGACCCATAACAGGGTTAAAATTAATCTAAACCAGTCTACATAGTACACAGATTGCGAAGTTGATGAATACTTTCTAAACCTTAAAGTAATACAAGTTTGTGTGTACGTAAACAAGATCAAAAGCTACATCACTTATGGAACGACCTGATACGTGACAGCAAGCTACTTAGCTTGAGTTTAATCCATGTATTACAATATAATATGCAAACATCCAGTATGCATTGTAACGAGCAATGATTGCTAAGATCAAACTCGAGCAACGATAGCTGCATAGAAGAAGCGACAGAGATTTAATAGAAACCTACCTTTCGGATAATACTGCGCACCTCTACCCTCTCCATAACCGTGAGAGGGTCCTCGAGTTCCACCGTGGCCTCCTTGACTTTGCCTGGGAGGTATACTTCTCGGACCGGCACCTCTTCCACCACGTGGATGTCGCTGTAAGGAAAATGAATGCATCAATTTCGCGAACGTTTAAAATTAATTTACACTCTATACTGTTTCTTTGTCTCGTCGTGTTTTACCATTCTGGTCAAGGTATTCCAAGTGTCAGTGAGACGTCTCGCTGGTGGTTTCTTGGGATTACTGGAAGGAGTATGAACAGCGCAGCATTTGATGAACAAGCCCATGAAAATAATGAAAGCTATGCCCATCAGCAATACTGCCCACCAGAATTCCTAGAAAAAGGTACATTTATCGTTAAACCGGTATAAGTTGCGTGAAATATTCGAGAACCAAAAAAGTTATACTTACGGTTACCCACTGGGCTACCGTGAGCAACGTATCTTTATTAAATAAAAGATTTTTCAATCTAGCTAGCGGCCCTTCTGCATCGACCGCTCTACACTTCAAAAAGACGTCGCAGTAACCCTGAAGTGGAAATAATCACATCATTACAGTCGGTGTTTGCAACAGAATTTATGTAAATTGAAAATACTGTTTAGTAATTCATTAATTAACCTGAAAGTTATCGCAGGGCGATCCAGGTCGAAGGCTGATTCCGCCTTTGGGCAAGCCAACGACATGAGCAAACTCGCTGGTACTGCGGCATGAGGATGGATCGGTACCATTTTGGCAAGCTAATTCGCACAGTTGACGTTTGTCGATACTGGGAATTACGTTACTCGTCAAAAAGCATTCAGTTAAATTCCATTCCAGGCAAATAGATCCCGTGCACTCGCCATTAATGCATAACTATTAATAAAAAAAATACATAATTAAGTACAAATATACGCGACTGAGGAATGACTAAACTGCGGTTGCAATTTCGATAATTATTTCATTCAATTGAGTTACTCGAGTCATCCAAGACGTTTACTTCGTATGTTTACACTCGAAATTGCTAAGCTACATCGTATTATATACTGTTATACGTGTACATATAGCAACCTTTTACATCTTCTATACAAATTGAAGATCTGGAAAATTGCTCTTACCTGAGTTCCTTCGTTACATCTAGTTTTATTGGATCTAGGTAACGGTGGAGGACACTCGGCAGTTCTCCCGTTGCAAGTGGAATTGTAACTGCAATCGGATTCTGCCTTACATTGAACATTTTTGATTTGGGCCACGAATTGGCACGACTCACTCGAACAGCAAGGTCCTTGACTAGGACTGCAAGAAAAATAATTCATGAAATATTACATTGAACACTTTGCGACATACTAGTAATTCCTGTACAAATTTTTACATTTTTTATGAATATTGAATAATTTTTAAACGTCTTCTTCTGGAGTCTAAACATTTATCAAACGTTATTTTTTCATTTACATAAAATATTTACTTGTAAAATATATGTCATTGAATATGTTTACTTTTTTCTTATTTTTCATACAAAATTTCTGGATCGATATCGGCACAAAATTGAATTTCAACTTATCGGTGTCTTCGATTTCAAAAGTTTCAGTCGTGATATGATGCGACTTTTTCTATAATAACTTGCACAGCAGTTTAAAAGTGCAGATTTAAAATGCAAGAAGTGAGATTTAATACAGAATAAATGATCTTTTCGATTTAGAAAACAATTCAAAGTTTGAAGTATCAACTAAAATAATCGCTCTAGAAAAAGTTTAGTTCTTAATAATTGATTTCTCAATGAGCAACTGCATTAAAAAGGTTGTTTTCTCTTTGAAATGATATCAATGCATACTGAAAAAATATTTTACTCCATGATAATAATAAAGATTAATTTTAATACATGATGAATTATACAAAATATGCTGTTAATTATAAAAAATAGTTTGGTAAACTATGATTACAAGAATTGTATGACAAAATGTCCTCAGCATTTAATAAATATTCTACATTTTACATTCACGAAATGCAAAGTATTAGAATGATGCTCTTATTCAATAATAAATAGACTGCGTAATTACTAAGTATACCACTACATAAATCGAAAAAAAAAATTCGAAATAGCTTTCTAATCTTTTATCTAGTCAAAAAGGCAAAAAACGGTAGAAACAAAAATAAATACCGTTAATATACTGAAGGATTCTGCATTGTCTCAAAACACATGCGAAATTTCATAAAAAAGTACTGGACTGCTTATTAGTACACCTAATACGTATAAAACGTAGTGAAGCAAATGGTTTGAACAAGCATGAGAAACGTTTCTACTTTACTCTTAGTTTAATGAATCTCTGAACTCTGGAGATAATGTCCATTTGCATATCAATTTTTATAAAATAATCTCCCCAACATGGAAAATTGCACAAACTCTGGCAGTACACAATAAATCATTACATCGAAATCTGTACCTGCATTGCGTCCCAAACTTTCGAGTGCAACCCTTCGCAGTATCGTTCTTTATTTTATCCAACTCGGACACCTGTCTCGGGTAACAACATTTATCCACGCACTCGTCGTCATCGTATCCACAATCACATTCTTCTCCAGCCTCGACGATTTTATTGCCGCAGAATGCTCCGGCAGAGGCTGTATATGAAACACAAAACAATCCAAAATAACATATCACTCTTATCATCGACAATCGTTCACACGTTCCGAAACAAGTATACAAACCTGTGAAACAATTTCTTTTTTTGTTATCTTCAATGGCGTCTAGGACGTTGCTAATATTGCTAATGCTACACTTTGAAAATTTACTGTTATTCGGCCGATCTCCGCTCGTCGCCGATGCGAACATAATGTAATTACCCAGTATCCCACCCGGTCTACACTCCGGCGGAAAATCATGCTACAAGCACAATGAAAATTATCATTAAATTAAACGAAACTTGTATACCCTTCCGTAATAGCGCAGATGCCTCAGAGAAAATTCTTACGGGTGATCCGAAATTGTGCCCGATCTCGTGCGCCAATGTCAATTGCGACACTTTCGGTGGTACTCTGCTGTTGTAATTCACGAACGTGATGATTCCCGTGTTTAGCGATCTCTTCGTCGATTGGTACATGCCGCCCACCGTTTCCGTGTACGTTTTGTATTTTTCGCATATGCCGCCGGACGCGCCGGACGCCGAGGCGACCCAAGCAAGTCCGAGTGTACCGCCAGTGAAATCTCTGTTAACGATAATGTATCGCGTGAATGAATATTCTCGGTTATGTATACAGGGTAATTCTGGGGCAACGCGGCTAGACTATAGCGCAGTTCCAAGCATAGACAAATATAGATGGAGCATAAACTGAACGGGGGAGTAAGATTCGCGGTAAGGGGGTGGTTAGTTATAAATCGGGTAACTTCGTTCCTTTTCGGTGCTATTCGGGTATACAATCATGTTACATATATGGACCGTTTATTTTGAAAGTGGTGCAAGTCCATTTTCCAATTCCATTTCATTTTATTTTAGTTTACACTAAATTAAGCATAAATTACGTCATTGACCGTTTATTTTGAAAGTGGTGTAAGTCCTTTTTTTAAAAAAAATGAGATATGACGTAATTTATGCTTAATTTAGTGTAAACTAAAATAAAATGAAATGGAATTGGAAAATGGACTTGCACCACTTTCAAAATGAACGGTCCAATGTATGCTATGAGAGATGAAAGGAATATACTTATTATACGTTAAAAATTCCGTTTGTCATGTAGTTTGTGTAGATATATGTATTTAACAAAATTAATAAATACTATACAGCATTAAATAATAGTACAGCACACAGCCCACCAGCCATTAATAACGAGCCGAATAGAGCCGAATGCATCCGAAGCTAACCGACGTATATCTAACGACCGCTGTCTTTTCCCCTCCAATCCTACGGTCCCCTCGCCCAAAGTGGTAGCTTATGTTCCGTCTATATATGTTTATGGTTCCAAGTGAGGTTAGAAAAATAATCATAAAGAAAAATTTTATGTTAGCGGTGTCTGGATCTATTTGGATCTCTGTGATTCCTACTGTTTGAACATATTTTCACACACAATCATTCAGTAAGACCTGCTTGTCTCATATGACCCAATATAAACAACGCCTAGCTTAAACTCGATTTATATGTTGATGTGTTATATAGAGCTGTTAAAAACTTGAATTTATTGTACCTAGGCACCGCCTTGCGAGGGTTAACAAGCTATGTCATCCGACTTAGCTGATGTATGGATTTTTCTTTTTTCCCCAAGCTGCAGCGTATACTTGCAAAATGCAATTGTACATTTTGTTTTTGAATGGAACACTACGATTTTCGTTTGCCATAAATGGATTCTTCGTGTGATTCTATGTACAAAAGGTGCAAGGTGTTATGTCCGTAACGAATTGCCACGACCATCTTTAAAAATCCAGATATTGGCCTTGAGCGTTGACCGGTCGATTCCAGACTGTGCTTACGTGGGCCACCCAGCTCCTCACTGTAATAAATTGCGTATGGACCAGGGCGCACCACTCGAAAACGTACAAATCTGCGAAGACTTGGCTTTAGAAATTATCTAGATATTGTGGTATTGCGTCTGGTTCATGTCTCCGGCGGTTTTTTTTTCTTTTTTTTTTTTTTTTGAGATTGCACAGTGCCTGGAATCCGTTAAGCAGGCGGTGTTGATGGGAAATGACCCAGAGGCGTTCGGTATTGCCTCTTACGTCGGCCATCCCGAGGATAGAGGATGGGAACAGACATCTTGAAAAGGCAAAGTTAGAGAGCCTATGTAGAGTCAGTCATCGATTGTTGTCAGTTGCTGAGACTGAAGCTCAAAGTGAAGGTTTTTGTTCCAAAGAGACAATTTGAATAATTATTTCTTCCTACACTGTCCAAGTCCCTATCCCAGGATAAATTTTTTAAACGAATTAACCCAAAACTAGAGGCAAGGGAATAATTAGTTGCATAAATCCAGAAGAAATGTAAGGGCATTGAAAACACAATACATTACGAGATATTTCACTTTTTACATAATTGTTACCATTGAATTATCACGCCACTGTCGTATGTACTAATATTGTACTTACATAGACACGGAGTTTACTATAATTCGCATGTTCTTACATACTGTTTACGCTGTTCAACATTTCAACGTACGTCTTAGTTAATTAATAAGCATACGGTTTCGGGAGGTGTCGCGAGTAATTCCGAAGTAACCAGCAAATGTAACGCAATGGCTGTTACAAATCAGATGAACAAAGTATGGTGGTATTCACAACTTACTATTTCGATAAATGATTTACACGAAAGAATTACAAGTAATTGTTTAAACGTGAATGCTGAACAGCTAAAGTCAGTTAAATAATGCAATGAAAAATGTAAAGAAACGTATAAAAGAATGTTCAGTGTGTAATATTGAAACGTTTGAGTGCTTGCTCCAAGTTTTCGAAAAAAATTCAACACTTACTAAAGTATTTCGTTTTCAATGCTCTTACCTTTTATACGCAGAATGACACGAGGGATAAATTTATGCAAACAAAAAAATCTCACAGTTGGACGATAAAGCTGGTTAACTCTAGGACGACAGTATTTGGATCTATTTAGACTTAACTTTTCAAAAGCTTCATTTGATTCATCGACTTATCTAATTTAAGTTAAGAATTGCTGGTACTAATCATCTAAAAAAAGCAGATATTCTTGAATGATTGGCTTTGAAAATGTGGTTAAAAAGAAGGGAAGCACATGAGTCTAAATGAACTCAGGAACATTAAAAACCTCCGTCCTTCGAGGGTTAAACTGTGCAAAATTTCCCTCCACGACTTCTTTGAGACTTCATTTGGAACAAAGCTACAGCCTGGCCCAGAATTCCCCTGTATGCATTCCAAGCAAGCCGTGTGCAAAGAGTCGTACCTGTAGGTAAACACGTAGGCGAGACAGAAGTCTTCATGGTTGCCGAGCGAGTGGAGATTTAAAAAGTTACTGACGTCGATGTTCTCCATACAGAAGGGATTCGGCTCGCCGAATGTTTGTTGCGGTGTGCACGCCGTGTCATCGTCGATCTATCGGGGCAGAATATTTAGGTTTTAATTCCGGACTCGTGTGTCGGTGCAGAAATTCGTGGGATCGTAATTCAATCACCTTTATCCGTTGCACCTCGAATTTAATATTCCTATGTTTGATTCTGCCATCGAATCTCGTGTCCCTATATATGTAATTGACGGCAGTGACGTGGTGCGCGATGAGAGACAGGATCTCCTCTTTGGTTTTCTCTGCGTCGTGATGTAACTGCGATGTGAAAAGAGCAGAATTCAATATTCGCGAGTATTCCGCGAGCTCTACGAAAACTGGATTTATATAGAAACGAGATGTTTTATAACGGCACGGAGAAAAATGCCCGAGCAAAAGAACCGCGCGTGCGGATGGAAATATTTCTCTAAGGTAAGGACACACCAGAATGCAGAGACGTCTAGTTTAGAGGAAAATACGAAATGAAATTACGCTGGCCCCTATTACCTACCAAGGGGAAAGCTGTATGAATCTGACTACGAGGACGGAATGGTTGGTATTCAGGGTATTCGGCGATTGTGTAAGGAATTATTAGGTTTTCCAGTTAAAGTTTCAGGCAAGATATGTAGGCCGATTATTATCGTTCTGAAAGGAAATCCCCTCTGTTCTCCCGGTTTGAAAAGGGGCCGTTGTTATGCCAAATGCATCCCGGTAATCTTATTCGGTTTACCTGCTCAGATATATGTCGCCATATAAGAGGATCAGTCTGTATAAAAAGGGAACAAGTGTTCTTGTTGTCCTCTTTTGGTCTGGCTGCCCTTCGCACCCTCCGATGACTAGGTTCGTTAGCTTCCCGAGAGTATTTGTGGCCAGGTGATTCCTGGTCCCCGTTCCATGCATTCGGTTGCGGATTGGGCTTCTTGACGTTTGCGGTCGTAACCGGCGAAGGAACGTCTGGCTCGCCAGAATTTTGGATTCTCTCCATCCACTCGACCACATCCTCGGTGATTCCGCAACCACTGTGCTTGTCTACGACAGACGATAAACGTTATTAGTAGAGAATTATAAAAAAATAACACACAATAAGGCAATCTGTGCTCTTATGCTTTCGTTTTTATCCACTTTAATGCCATTCAAAAGTTATCAGTACAGGGGGTTTTTTCGAAAAATGATAAAAATAAATTTATTTGTATCCATTTTCAGAACTGCTTATGACGGACTTTGACGCCATTTTTCTGACCGATACTGAATTTTCCGGACAAGTGATACTTATTTCAGTTCCTAGGAGGTCGAGTCCTATAATTTCAAACCATTATTTTTTTTTAAACTAATTTAACATCTGGGTAACTTCTCTTGCATATACCTACCGGCAATGGAGCATTAAAAAGAATGAAAAGTGGAAACACTATAGTATACAGGGAGTCAGAGTTGGGAGTTACTTGACCAACTTTTCATTCGAATAAGTATTCGAATAAATTTTTACGAATCAATTTTTATTTGAATAATCTTTAAATAAAACATTCGAATAAACCGAAATTATTCGACAATAACGAATGATTTTTTATTCGAATAAATGTTGTGGTGACAATAAGTAGAAACGTAATGTGATGAATAGACACATTAGTCAAATTCTATTCAACTGCACGCATATCCAACAGTTTTTTCGAAACATGGTTTTGAAAAAAATCACGTTCAAAATTTGCATTCTTCTATAGGTTTGACAATTTCATGAATTTCGCCATAATACTTCGGAACACATTTTCAGGACCCCAAGCTATAAGAAAAAGCCAGGAAAAGAAAATCCGCTTTATCAGCTGGCTACAGTAGAATACCCCGTTAATGTGTTATAACCTGAAACTGATCTTAAACAGAGGAATAACAGGTATATGTGTATATACCTGTGTATATATATATACACACACACACCTGTTTATGATCAGTTTTAGGTTATAACACATTAACGGGGTATTCTACTGTAGCCGGCCGATAAAACCGATTTCCTTCTTCTTGCTTTTTCTTATAGCGTGGGGTCCTGAAAATGTGTTCCGAAGCATTATGGCGAAATTCATGAAATTGTCGAACCTATAGAAGAATATATATCTTATATTTTTTTATATTTTTTTTTCGCAGTAGATACATAGATATATCTACTACGAAAACAGCTTCGAACGAGCGTATTGGGGCTTCCGGTGTAGAACGTACAAAGTTGTGTCGCGTCGCAGAGGAAGTGCCGATGCGAAGTTTAATTATTCGTGTAATTTCGAAATGCAGGGAGCTGTGTCTGTATAGCGGATGCACCGACATAATGCGTCACGTAATGACAAACTTAACCGCTTCCCCTTGGGTGTCGTATCGCCCGTAACGTTGACGCTATTACTTTGAGGACGTGGCCGGCCACAGTACAGTACGAGTGTGAAATCGCACTTCCTTTTCCACCGTGACACCGACCGACGCGACGCACAACCCGGCGCGAGGCCGCTGTATCACTTTTTACAAGGCGAGGTTTCGGAACGGTCATTAATGCTTCCTCCCCGTTCTGTTAAACACAATCCATTGCTTTAAAATTCTATTTCAACCGAGCCGCCGCTTCGACGATTCTATTCTGTGTTCGATAATTTTCTCCTCGGACAATAGCCGAGCTTAATGAATCTCACTTGTTTCCTGAACGTTTGAGCAATTAAATATGAGAACATTAATGCAGTATACGAGTTCCTTGGATGAGAATGTTGAATATAACTTCAGATAACGGAGGAAACATTTGTTCCAATACATACTCATACGTATAAAGATTAATATGTAAAGGTACTATACAGGGTGTAACAAAAGTGTTGTAGGTCCCTGAAATGATTCACTTGTGAGGTAATTTGGAACAAGGTTTTCCGTAACAGAAATGGTATCCTAGGCTTTGTTAACGAGATATTAACGAAAAATCCCGTCCAATCAGAGCGCCAGTCTGCCGGCCGTAGCGTTGACTATTCGCAGACTCGCGCTCTGATTGGTCGGAGTTTTTCGTTAATATACCGTTAACAAAGCTTTGGATACCATTTTTGTTCAAGAAAAACTTGTTCCTAATCGCCCCAACAATCACCCTTTTCAAGGACTTACAATTATTTTGGGAACTCCGTATAGGGTGCACTGGAAATTGTGGTACAGACGGTAACGAAATGATTCGTTATGCAAAAATAAGTCAAAAGTATGAAATAAAATTTTTGTTACGAGGCTTAATTCTCGGGGAAATCGTTTTCCAGTTGACTCCGATTCAGCTAACGTGTTTGTTCACTAGTTACCGTTTTTATTTGTTGTGAGCCTTGTATGAAAAAACTTTCTTCTGTATTTTTCATTTATTTTTGCAGAAGAAATCACTTCCACTTGTGTCATCATTTCGGTAGCACCTAATACTTTTTTTTTTTCAAATTGTACCTCTTAACTCCTCCCTAAGTAATGAGGGTCGTTGACGACCCAAGCAAATTTTAATTATTCCAGGATCATCCTAGGAATATTTATTTTTATTGAAAATAGTTTTTATCATTTGACTTAAAGAACGATTGTATAGTGCAGTAGAGACTTTGGTAAGTATCCCAGAATTGGTTCAGAGTTTTTGAAAGCCTAAAACAGTAAAAAAACGAAGCTTGGACATAAACGAACCAGCTTGTCTACAGCGTGTGAAAAAATATGTTCCCTTACGGAGGGTTAAGATGTATACTAATTTTATCGATAGCGTTACTCTAATAGTTTTATATTCAAAATGTTAAAGAGAATTGTTTTATGTAAGAAAAATATGTCTCCATTAAAAATATACAGGGGCAACTGCATTTACAGATGCGCCATTGCACTTGTGTAAACAACTGGAACACAGGAAAATAAATCTTTGTAAAATATTTAACTTGTCCTTTTGGTATTCTTTTTTCATTCCAGCCAGAAGAGATATGTACAACTTTTCCCAGTGGCGCGATCAACAACCCTGTACGCAGAGTCTACACTGTGAATGGTTGGAATGCAGTGTAGCATTGTGAAAAATACGAGGGCTGTTTCTAAAGTTCTGGAAATTCTGTCGAAATAATGCAAGGATAATAACTAATGCTTTCAGGTACAGACAAGTCCTGACAGTTTTCCCAACGATGTTAATTAATACCGATCAGAATGATTTAGTGGCGAATACAGACGTGTTTTTTCGTGTCAATTTTGCAACAATGGAAAACACTGTAAATTCTCAAAGAGCTATTATTTTCTTAAAAATTAGTTTTAAATGAATTAGACTGTGAATTACGCCCACGTCCACCTTATTCGCCTGATCTGACTATCATCTGTTTCCATAATTGAAAAACCCTCTGCGTGATGTGCGATTTCAGGACACAAATGAGGTAAAATGGGTCGTAAACCAGTGGATAAAAGGGCTTCGAAAAAGCTTTTTTAGATGGTCTAACAAAAAATAGTTTTACGCTGGGACAAGTGCATGCAGTTAAACGGAAATTATATTAAAAAATTACAATGTAATGTAGACGAAAATGAATAAAATACAAAATTTATAACAAGTCCCAGAACTTTGGAAACACCCCTGTAATAACAATAGTTCTGATTGTGATAATTTGTTTCCTTAATAAACATCGAACGAAAAGGGATATTCGTCCTTTTTCGAAGGATTATTATAAAATTTCTGATAATGTGTGGGGACTAAGGCTATACATATACATTTGACAGTATACCGTCAACAATGTGCTAAAATCCTGGAAGTCAACTCGTGTTCATTCATTAGTATCCAACAACACGTACTTGTTAAAAATAGAATACTCGACTGTTGTATTCATAGTAACACACTACAAACAGTTAAACGCGACCATTATCAAGTTACACTATTATACCTGTTTATTGTATTCGTAATTAGTAGCGGTTTTACATTACAACGTAATATTACACGATGTCATGTTATGTTCGTGAAACAAGAATCCAATTGTTCGCCATGATAACTTTAAAACAGTTCAGAAATTTTTTCTACAATCTCTTTAATATATTTTGGGAAATTTCATGATAAATCGTTCAATGACACATTACGTTTCATTGATGAAGGGTTAGAAAGTGATATACACATACCCGAGACTAGATGTGTGTCGCATGACTCTTTCCAACATAGACTTAACAATATTGGAGACGGTGTACAAGAAGCAAAACAAAATTGTAAAAATTCATCTTTGATTAGTTTAATTTGATAAAATGTGATTACAGTATAATAATGAAGTTACGTTTCAATGAAACTTTGTGGAGTGTAAACTAATGCTATTAATAATTTTGCTTTAATTATTGAAACTTTACACAAATTTGTATATTTTAAGTCAAGATTGATTTATAAAATTTACAGACTGGTTCATGAAATATATATTAGAACATGTAATAAAATATACAATCATGTAATAATAAAAATAAATATATTATGCTTAAATACCATTGTCAAGATATTGAAAAGAACTGCAAGCTTCCATTCAAATAAACACTAAATTATTGTTAATACTGCAAACTTAAAGTCTCATAACACTGGCTGTCATAAGATATTACATTCAGGATAAAAAAATGAAGGTTACATTATTAGACAAAAAAAATACGTAAAGATATAAAAGAACGAACAAAAGAATCCTTCGTTCAAGGACAAGTTTTTCTGATTTGAAATAAGGCGCAAGAGACTTCATGCAAATCGAAACAGTAGTTTTCGAGAAATATTGATCACCGATTTGAAAAATGTAGTTTCGAGAAAAACGGGTTTAAAGTTTCAGGTCAAGCTAACACTTATACAAAATGTTTACTTTTTAACGCTTGTAACTCTGTCATTTTTAATTGGATTACCTTGAAACTTGCATAGAATATTCTCGAGATGTTGTACTTAAAGAAAATGTAGAAAGTGAAAAATCGATTTATTGAAAATTTCTGAGCATGACCCCTTAATTAATTTGAATTATTCGTCGCTAGAATTGCTATTTGGCTCACTGTCGCGACAATACAAGCAAGAGGGAAACACATTCTATGGTCCGTCGACCTCTCCAGTCAGTTTCTCAGAATCCGTTGGAATTGTACTAGTCCCGCGAAGCGTTAATGTTGCAGGCTCATAACGGCACGCGTATGTATATCCAGTACGCAAACAGGCAAGATGGCGGGAGTTCGTCCGCGCAGTGCAATATGGACGACAACCACGATAAATATTATACGCGATACGGTTGCCTGTTTATTTAAGCGGTGGTTATTTGCACAAATGCTGTAAACACGGCCGGGGCCCGCTTGGATCAGAGAGAAATCCGCATGCGTGCCTATAGAACCAACCCGCCGCCCGTCTATACCTAATTCGGATTCGGTGAACTCCTCCCGTTGTGCTGCTTTTCCCTGTTTCACCCCCCCCCCTTCCCCGCCCCTGCTGTAAGCCCTATACGCGCATTCGAATGGACTACTTTCTTCTGTAATGACATCGCGAACAGCGCATGGAATTCACGCTATCAACCGGATCCTCGGAGCACCCCGCCCGCCTTTATACCGAAAGTGTAATCTTCCTGGCACGATGGGAAGTTCGTTTCAAAACGGGGGTGAACCCCCACTGTATCGCGCGGACATTCAGTTTCTTGCTGAAGTTTTCGGCGACGAGTATTGTCGAACTTTAACAGAAATATTTGAATCGTACGGAACCGAGCACACGAATACGTTTGACCGACTGTTGCGACGTCTCGCGATAAGCTCGCGAATTAACCACTGCTCGTTGGTAATTTAATATCGCGGAGCTCGTTTGAAAGATGATGTTTAAACGATTGACACAACTTAGTAACACACCTATATTTTAATATAAACTTAACAACGTAATGTATGTGTATAGGATCGGGAACTCCATACCCAACAAAGGAGCAAATAACATCTTTGGAAAATAGGTGGGTTCCGTGGAGCAGTGGGTAGAGTCTCTGCTTTCGCTGCCGGGGGTCGTGAGTTCGAATCCCGCTTGGGCCCCTCTCATTTTTCCAACGCTCTTACATGTGTGTACTGCTTGTGTTCTGACTGATTGATGTGTTCTTGTTGACGGGTTGAATGGTTCTGCCGAATGAGGGAATGTATAGGTGATTGCTGGAAGGATCGACTCTTGATTGGTGGGAAATGCAGAATTTTGGTTGGTATAGGTGGTTCAAGAGGGTGGTACTATGAATTGGGGTTTGGTGTATGTATTATTGTTACTTGGATTCCTTTGAAGTCAGAGCCGAAATATAAGGAAGGGTTTTAAGGACCGCGAATGGTTTGCACGTGATGTGCAGCTGTCCAGAAATCTCTGTTTATGACGGTTTGGTTGGTGACCGTGTCGACGGCCCAAGAAGTTGGGTCGCAACACCACAGTGATGTAAGAAAAGTATTCGCACGTGGGTGTAGTACAGTCGCCAGCAGAAACGTCAGCGGGAATGGAACAAACGCGGGGATAAGTTTATTACTGTAATGAAACTGTCGGTTGCGTTTAAAGGGGTATATTCCAACTCGGTGGCGTCATTTTTAAGCGATTTTTAGAACTAAGAATTATCGAACCAAGGAACTTGTAGTTTCTCGTATATGTTTGTTCATATTTCAAAAAAGCAGAGTAAAATTTTTGTGCAATTAGATTTTATGTTAACAACGTTATTACATGTTTTTTAACAGCGTATCGCTCTGAATGGCTGCCACGATTCACGTTGTTGTATTCATGGGGAAAATAATCAAAGATAATCTTAATCTACATAAAAGTGGCTATCTTGTGAACTACTATGAAACAGAAAAAAATTAGTTAACAAATGGCCGCCATGTAAAGCAAGAATTCATTAAATTTTATACTTCTTCAGGCGATAAAAAAAGCTATTGTAATTGATAAATGGTTTTTAGACAACAGCTGATTGAATATTTCGCTTGATTCATTTCAGAGATTAAATAATTATTATATTCATTTAGCACAAGTTTCCTGTTCTGGTTTTACCATTTCATTATAAAACATACAGCAGTAATTGTTCTACATGGAATCTCTGTGCCTCGCTTTTGTACAGAACCTCTATTGTAAAATTCAATTTTAGTAACTTTTCTGCGGAAACGTATAGTTCCAGGAATTACAGCATTCCATATAAACCAATAATCGATACAACCTTCCGATAAACCAATATAAATTCGGTTCTCTGCGTTCGTATTATTATCACACATCGTCAGGAATCAATATTTTTCCCCACGAATATCGGTTTTCTAAAGTGAATTAAAAACACAGAAATCCTCGCACAAACGAAATTTACCGGTGATCCACGAAAAACTTTAAGAACGAATAACTCGAAAAACGGAGAGACGCATTTACGCAATGTCGCCAGTATATTTTCTCTTAAAGTAAATGGACCGGAAGGCGCAATGTTCCGCGTCTT